TTTCATATTCTTCAAGAAGTATCCACAAACATATGAATCAAGTTCCTTCATCTTATGGAATTAGGTTGCTGTGCAATTCCGTAGGGACTTGGTAGGTGAGGTAAACAAGGCTAACCCTCATTTTTTAAAGCAATTTTTCATGAAAAGACTTTTGCACATCTTGTCTTAGGGGCTTATAGGGACATAATACTTGAAAATTAAAACAAACAGTTATTTTCCAGGCAAATCTTTTTTGAGATGACTAGCGTTTTAATACCGCTCCACTTTAACGAACTTTCGCCTCGTTGCACCTAATCAAGCTTCCTGTTATGTTTTTAGTGTTTAATCGCGATAGTGATACATTTCGTATTTACACAACTGATTCACATGCATTTCAACTGCGAAATCGTTTGTAACTCAGTAGCACCATTTTGCTCCTGGTTAGAAGTCGCTAAAATATGTGTTTTGAGGTTACGTTACATTCTGATACGATTGTACACACGGGCTTTGCGTACCCGCTTTTAGCAATTAAATTCTGTATAAAAGCTGGAAATATGTGAAATAAGAAGTGCATAACATCTTGGAATAATGATAAACGTGGTAAGGCTGATGAGAACAGCCGTTTTGATTTGCTAGGTGACCGCGCGATGCGCTCAATTTGTAATCGAATCATCATTTCTCACCTATCTAAATCACATTATGTTGCTGACACCTACTGTTTTCCGACTTAACCCTAATCGGATCACTACACCTTCCGTGTGATTGGAATGACTTTTGGGAGTGACGGGTTCGGAAGGATTTTGCACTTTAAATGAACTGATTAAGCGTGATAAAGTGCCGTTAGCAGTACATCGTGCAGGAGGCATCCGGAAAGTGCACCGCGCCTAGCCTGAGCGCTGATTGATTTCCTCGATGGCAGCTCCGAGGGTTTTGTCGTCTGCGAGATTTGCGAGCCCACAGCAGGCCAGAGACGAGTGTAATTCCCTCATCTTGCTTGCATGAGTTGTCTATTGTTCGTGTGTATGTTTGAGGGGCATCGTAGTACCTTCCACTTATTTCGTCGCATTGGCTTTGGTTTCCAGTGTTCTTATCACAAGTTCTTCTTTTATAGTTTAGGCAGGCGATGGTAGGCGAGAAGGAATGGGAGACGTGTTACCACTCGACTCCTGCCGGTTACTTCACCGGCTGCCGCCGAGCTGCCAGTTTTCCCTTCTTTGGAGATCATTCGTTGGTGCCTAGCAGCGCATTGAAGGTGTTTTTACCTTCCAGAAATAGCCTTCACCTCTTTCTTCAGTATTTCGAAAACTTACCCTCTCTGTTTTTTTCATTATCATCATCATATGTCTTTCTTAGGTGCGGTCACAAAGTGAGTCAGAAGGTCTTAACAAAATTCGCTTCAGCCAAATAAATCTGGACGCACTTCGTCCACGCCCACGAGAGAAGATTGTGGAAGAATGCGGTAGGTAATATTGATTCGGCTTGAAGCATCAATCTTTTGATTTATATTTCGTTTTTCAAATTAGTCAATTACTAATTTCTAAGAACAAAAGATGACGTAATTTATGTCGTCAAAAGATGTCGTCTTTGTCTGACGCAAAGTTAAAGGGGAATCCATCAGGATTAATTTGACTATACATTGCATTTTGAAATCTTCACAGACAAATAAAGCGATATGGATTTTTGATCACTACTTGATGGGACTTTTTCCTCCATTTTATACACTCCTTACAATAACAGCATTTTGGAATAGCTCGTCGTTGAATTAATTGCGGTATGTATTTTGCAGTTTGACTTGCGGTACACTTGCGCTTAGCTTCATGCCCTCTTTAGAAAGAAGCATCAAAAGATGACAGAACCCATATATTGGACGAGAAATTCTTTGAGTGAAGAAATTTGAGTTTTCTTTCAAAAAAAAAAACCAAGAAAAATTGTTCATTCTAGCTTTAACACTGCAGGAAAGCAGATTAAGGCAAAAATATTGAGTACTCAGCAAGAGAAGTGGGTTAAAGAGTATGTTTAAAGGACATCTTTCACAATGCATTTTGCCCCATAAATAAACCTCCCACATTCCCACTCCAGAGTACGAAAACATCCTACATCATTGTTGTTGATCTAAAAGAAAAATTCCTTTTCCGACACCAAAAGCTTTTTTTAAAACTCTTATCTGGACTATGTACGTGCAGGTAAAAATGTGTACTATCTCAAAATTAAATCAAACCTAGAAGTTCTCTCGGAAAATATTGTGGATGTTATATTTGCCGGTGAAGTTTACTGCACACCATGCTACCACCTGCAATGCTGCCAGACCAACAATGAACAATCGTCAGCTTTCAGATGAAGCAAGTGACTGTGAATCGGATTCCAGTTCATCTACATCCGAAGAGCCTGATGCTACAACAGGGGAAGCAGTGGAGCAAATGGTTGAGGTTGGTTTTGGGTTGTTTGACATACCTCAATTGTTTCATAGATGTTCAAGCGTTTAGGTACCTTGCAAAACTCCAAAATCGGTCCGTTTTGCTGACGATTGCGGCAAAGAGCTGTATTCGATAAGGGTCATGACCGAGCCCAGTGACTATCCGCCTCAAATTAACCCTAACGTACTAAGAAAACTCAGAGGTATTGCTTCTTCTTAAAGAAATGACACTGTTGATCAAATCACTTCATACTGAATCATAAATACATGTGGTTTTGAATAATACATTCGAAATACCCGGAAATATAGTTTGAAGACGATGACGTTGCGTATAACCAAAAGTCGAACATCCAAGAAATACGACCTCAAAAATTTGTTAATTGGAATCCTTTTTCTATAAACAACAATTGTTCCGCATCTCAACAACCCATATTACCCTCTTTCAGGTGATAATTACGTTGAAGAATCACCCAGCAAAGATCCAGCACCGACGTGGAATCTACTGTTCAAGCAGCCGGCCAGTGAGTACGTGCGCTTCAGAGAGACGTTGGAAAAGGTACACATTCTTCTTCCTCATTCTCCCACGCAATCATTTCAGTCAAAAATAGCTCCTGACGTCTTTCAAGTCTTTGCACATCGCATTTAAATGTTCATTTGAAATGTATATACCTATATTTAGGATCGAGTTTCGCTTGAGAATGTTGTATTGAAGTCGGATTCGTCAAAAATTGTTGGCACCATCAAGGTAAGCAAGATCATTTGTTTTGATAATCATGGAACTCTTTAACTGTTGATTACCAATGTTGAGTTGCCCACCCTATACCATTTCTACTCCCATCGAGGCGAAAGAAGACGCACATTTCGATAGTATGCAGAAAAACTGAACATAAACCTAGATTACTTGAGCAACTCAAGGTCATTTTGGAATGTAGACATTTCAAGTGTTCGTGTAAACGCACACCCACTCCTTTGCAAGATAGGGCACTGATTATGTGGAAACTGCGATAGGAAAGCGTTTTTTCGTTGTTTGTTCTGAAGAGGGAAGTAGTTGTAAATGTAATATCAGAGAGAAAAGAACTGCTTTGTCTATTTATTGACTTAGCATACAGTTTTCAAAGACATCGTTGTCTGCCTGTCATAGCTTACAGGGGCAAGACATTCTTAAACCATTTGGCATGTTAATTGTGGGACGATTTTTATGAGAGGGAAACACGAGCGAAACAGCGCAACTTGTCCAACAGCTGATTTTTAAGGATAAAAACTCCTAAGAGATTGAAGTTTTTGAGCGAACTGAAAGCTTCAAAAAAGCATGGAGGATTGACAGCATGGCTGCTTGCAAATGAAGCTATATTGAGCCTCTTGACGTGGTTGAAATGCCTACCGCGAGGGACGTCCTTGTTTATACCCTACGTCATAAATAAAGTGCTTGCTATAGCTGAATAGCTAGTCTAACTTTAAAGGATGTCGTTCGCATTTCTAGTGTCTATACCCTGGAATTGAACCTGTGCTTGAGTGCTTTTGATTAGCTAAGTAGTCACTATGGCTTTTTTGTTGCAAGCCTACACTACGAGACAGTTCCACTAAGAGAAGGATAATAAAGGTTAATCGCTATAGCAGGGAGCTGATTTCTAAGAGAAGAAGTTTCAACTGACAGACAGATAAGATTACATGGAATGAATCAACTTCCTCCTATTATTCCTCTTAGACACTGATAATTGATTGCTTGAAAGAGTACCACTTATTTGCAAATTTGGTTTTCTTCGCCTTGCTTTCTCTCTTCTTCAGTTCTTTCGAGATTCTGTTCTTGCAGTACCACTCTGTGCAACTAATGCTATAATTGGCCAAAACGATAAAGACACTGCATGCATCCCTACTTGTAAAGTTTGGTGATATTTGGTTCTTCACATTCTGTCAACAAAATATGTAGTGCAGTAACATTGTTCCAAAGAAAACTGATAAGTACAACATCCAGTTGCTCTACAGCTGTTCCAAAACCAACAGCTGTTTTACCTTTTGAATGGCAAATTTCCTATGTTCCTTTCATCTTGAGAGCAGTGCACACTGGTCTTTAAACTTGTATGTAAAAGAAAACTGCCTGAAACCTCTTCGCTTTCGCTATGAAAGACGAGCGATCAGATTAAACGAAATACTTGTATTGCATAGAATTAACGCTCACAATAGTGAATGAAGGCTTACTAATTGCAAATCGAGTTGTGTTAGCGAAGAGCATTTGATTTATCGAACAAGAGTGGAGATTTGATGGAGTAATTCATTTTTAGGTTGCAAACATTGCGTTCGAGAAGAAGGTGTTCGTAAGGTATACCACCAATAATTGGCACTCATACATGGATCGCCAGGCGACGTTCCAACCGTCTACCAGCAAAGTGTATGACACCTTCACATTCGAAATCGAGCTACCGAGGCCAACTGATAAGGTGAGAACGTCTTATCGGTGTGGTTATAATGTAGTACGTTGTGTACACAGTAAGTCGCAAAGCGCATTGATGTAGCTGTTAATTAAGATTAGAGGGATAGCTCGTTACTATGTAAATTCTTGTCGTTCAGTCCCTTTCACCCAACTCGCTCCTATGAATGGGAGTGGTCAACGAACCTGCAATAGTCAAAGTTTGCTTTAGCTTTTTTTGATCTGGCCCTCTCACATAGAGCTTTTGCAATCCTCTCTAAAGATTTCCATAAGGAAGAATAGTGAACGATACGCACCTCCACGTTCAATTCCCATGCAATCCACGCGATGATAACGTGTCACTATCCATAAAACGTCATTTTGCACCTAATCTTCATGAAAGTCACATTCTAGGCATTCTAGCATGAATTGCAGAGAAAAGGATGCTCTTGACACCTGCGTCACATAGTGGATGATGCGTT